TAAATTATTCGTTTTAAACTTGAAATATACCTCCAACTTCACCCTCATTTAGACATGTTGAAGGTATATTTCATGCTTCAAAGAACAAATATTAAAAAAACTGTCAGTGATGCATTCAGCTCCTTAAGTGGTTTCAGTCTCGTTTGTTCAGTCAAGATTCAACTCTGTACACAACAACCTGAATATGAAACCTGATCAGAGCAGCTACAGATCAATTTGAGTTAAACATCCTATGTGGCTGTGTGCATTGTTTCTATTTTTATTTAGTTATGTGTGTGTATCCAGTTACCGCCGTCCTTAAAGGAACAGAGATTATTTGGCCAGATGAGTCCAGTTAGGAAGAGTTATGGCTCAAATGGTCAATTCAAATTTGTTGTGCATGGTTGTTGTTGTTGTTGTTTTTTCTTTATTATAACTTGCTAAGTTGCTCCTGCCTCTTATGAGCTATCTTCTGTGTTCAGCTGTAGGCTAAGGGCTCTTTAATAAAATAGTAAATGGACTGTACTTATATAGCACCTTTCTATCTTATCAAGTACTCAAAGCTCTTTACAACATAATCTGTGCCTCATTAACCTCCACACACACATTCATACAGCACTATTCTACATCTTTACAAAGATAAACAAATCCATCTGCAGAGACTAATCAGAGCTTTAGATCACATTCATACACTGATGGGACACACATCAGAGACAATGAGGGGTTCAGTGTCTTGCCCAAGGACACTTCAACATCTGACTGCTGGTGGACTCGAACCCCCAACGCTCCCATTGGAGAATGACCGCTCTAACCAGTCAGCCACAGCTGCCCCATAAAGCCATTCCATGAAAGGCCTCACAGACTAACTAGCCAGTCTTTAAGCAGCCTCTGGCCTCTCACAAGTCATTGATGGAGCTGGACACTTTATGTACAGTACATCTGTCAGAAATGAGGAGCATCGCTGAACTAAAAGAGGTGTGATGGAAAACCCAGCTGCATTGACTTGGAGCAAAACATGATGAATAACTTGGTTTAGCAATTCTTTTTAAGAATCCAAAGCTGGCTTGCCTTTTCACATGTTGACTGTTTTGTATCTGTTACTGCCTCGCTTCACAGCACACACAAGTGAATCTGGTGAGTTATCTTCAGTCCTCCTTGTTGCCTCGATCCGTTCAGAAATCACACTGAGGTGGCTAGAATGCATCGAAGTCCTGGCTTGAGGTGTGTTGTAAAATAATCCTATCTAAACTCATTTTACTTGGTTAGCAGTGCATATTTGGCTGGTGAAAAACCTCTGATAGGTTTTTGTGTCTTTGTTGCCTATTCAGTGATTTGTCTACTCTGAGTGAAATACAGGGTGAGGAGAACAATTTGACAGGATCTAAATAAACAGAGAACTTCTGTTCTGCCCAAAGTTCCAGGAGAAAAAGAATAAGATACAGTAAATGGAGGAGCTGTAGTTTTCTATCAGATGGGATCATGTTGCAATGGCTTCAACGAAGGTGAAGGTGTAGAACCAACAGAGTTTTATGATTGTACACATGTAGTCTAGACTTCAAGTGATGGGGTGGGCTGATTGCTTTGAAGATGCAGTCAATACACAGTTTTGTTTAGGTCGTAGTGATAAAGTGAGTTCATGTTAAAGATTCTTTACTAAATAAGAGTAAACATTTCTTGTAGCATTTGCAACAAACTTTACAAGAAAGTCTGAAAACTTTCATTAAATAAACGTAAGGCTCGAAAATCAAAGCACAAATTAATAAAATTTAAAAAAAACAAGCGTAGAAAGAAGAAAAAGTCTGAGCAGGAACTCAATATCAGAGTCGGAGAGGTTTTATTGTCATTGCAGCTACGTACAAGTACATATTGACATGAAACAGTGTTCCCCAGGATCACGTGCAACATAGAACATAACGTGCAAAACAAAACAAGACACGGTGCAGATACACGATAGAACAATAAATACAAACAGACCTATATTAAATGCAAAAAGACATCTAACCTAATGTAAACAAGTAATTAAGAGACGAGACTAGAGACACATGATATGATTGAGTACTGAGGAAGATAGCTTGTCTGATGAAGATGGGAGTGATTTTTCCCAGGATTGAAGGTCATTTCAATTTGTGTGTTGTGCAAGAAAACTTATTGTGTCCCAAGCATGTGTGGAAAATATACAGTAGATTGATCATTTTACGAAGTTGCCATAAAGACTGAATTCATTGGTAATTTTTTTTAGGCATAATAGACACTTCTGTCCTTTCCCAATCCGTGGTCTCCTCTCATCTCCATCCCCAACCTCGCTCACCTTCCAACCATCTCTCCAAACGCCCAACTTGCAGCAATTCATGTTTCTCACAGCACACTCTTATTTTGTATTTGCCTCATGCAGGGCTTATTTATACAGCACTAAGCACAACAACAAACTGTTTACAAGCAGAAAGCCATCTTAACGAGCACTAATCTCAGCTACCACTTTGTGTTCAATTGCATTTTATACACCACAAGTCCTGCAGATGAAACATCTTCCAATGAAACGGGCTTCAGGCACAGAAATGTGTGCTGCTGCTAATCCTGCTAGCTGAGAGGCTTATTATTATTCCTTCATATCTGCAAGTCCAGTGGATCAACATAAAGGGAGATGCATGTACTCTGGCAGTAAAGCAGAGCTTACCTGTAGTCATAGTTTCCACTTTATAACTATTTCAAAATTAACTACAGTTGCAGAGCATCTTCCTTTATTGCTCAAATTTTTTTTTTAAAGATTTTCTATTATTTTTGTGGGAGGAGGGACATGGTTTAGAGAGGCACTGTTAGAAAACAACTTGACATGTTTCTACAAGATTGGGGGGTTAAAACAACTGCGGCAGCAGTAACTCAAACTGTGTTCATCCCTTCACCACACTGCAGCAAACAAACATCAGCGTTTAAACAGCTGAGAATCTCAAGATTGTATGTTGTTTTAAGTTTTTATTTAAAAAATAAGAGCTAAACTAAAATCTCATACCTGTTTAATATAGCACATATCACATTCTGCTGGATTCCCCTGGAAAGTAGGTCAAAAAACAAACATCACAATGCTGCTGTGCATGCCAATCTATAAATGTGCAGCAGTTCAGACTTGTTCTCTGGTAGAAGCGCTTTGTTGTGAGAACACACCAGGTCTCCCTTTCATGAATAAATGAATTTCGCAGATTCAGTTGCCATCAGAATGACAAAGCTTTGAAAACAAAAACTAAATAAAGATGAACCAAGCATTTTTGCCTACTTATGCTGTACAATGGTGAAGCCATGATATTCAGTTTGCAGGATGCCATGTTGTTTTTGTTTTTTAAAGCCAGAGTCACGTCAGATGCTGGGCTTTAGGCTCCGCCTCTTCACTTGTATACAATCATTAAATAACTAAACATATTGGACAGTTTATGGTTTAACAAATGACTAAGGTAAGAACTTTGTGAATCAACAGAAGTCAGCACCTGGAAGAAATTATGAGATGTATTTTTTGTTTTATTCAGGAAAATGTCTCATTTGTTTACATAGACAAACTTATACTGACGTCAGCCTGCAGGGCGGCTTCAATTTTCACATTCTGTTCCTGTGTCCAGTTTGCTACACTGCCTGGCCAAAAAAAAAGTTCACACATTAATATTTCGTTGGATCACCCTTAGCTTTGATTACAGCATGCATTTGCTGTGGCATTGTTTCATTAAACTTCTACAATGTCACAAGATCTATTTCCATCCAGTGTTGCATTAATTTTGGGCGGCTGTGGCTGAGTGGTTAGAACAGTCGTCCTCCAATGCAAGAGTTGGGGGTTAGAATCCACCAGCAGTCACATGCCCAAGTGTCTCTGGGCAAGACACTGAACCCCTCGTTGCCTCTGATGTGTGTCCCATCGGTGTATGAATGTGATAAAGCTCTGATTAGTCTTTTTAGAATGATTTGTTCAATTAGCTTTGTAGAGATCTAGTAGAGTGCTGTATGAATGGGTAAATGAGGACACAGATTGTGGTGTAAAGAGCTTTGAGTATCTTGATCAGATAGAAAGGTGCTGTATAATACAATCCATTTAATTTTTCACCAAGGTCTTGCATTGATGACTAGGCACTAGACATGATGGGTGCATCACTTCATTTGCCTTTTTTCTTACCCCGATGCACCCATCACTCTGGAACAGGGTAAATCTGGACTCATCAGACCACATAACCTTCTTCCATTGCTCCAGAGTCCAATCTTTATGCTCCCTAGCAAATTGAAACTTTTTTTTTCTGGTTATCCTCACTGATTAGTGGTTTTCTTAAGGCTACACAGCTGTTCAGTCCCAATCCCTTGAGTTCCCTTCACATTGTGCATATGGAAATGTTCTTACTTTCATTATTAAACATAGCCCTGAGTCTAAAAAAGTTAAATCTGGTCCTCTGGACATGATGTCCAGAGGACCAGATTTAACTTTTTTAGATTTTTCTACCTGGATTATTGAGCATGCATCAGGACATAGCCCTGAGTGCTGCTGTTGTTTTTCTTCGATTTGATTTCACCAAACGTTTTAAGTGATCACCGAGCACGATCATTCAGGATTTTTTTTCCGGCCACATTTCTTCCTCTAAGCCATTGGGTCCCCACTTTCCTTCCAGTTTTTAATAATGCGTTGGACAGTTCTTAACCCAGTTTTAGTAGTTTCTGCAATCTCTTGTTTATGTTTTCTCTGCTTGATGCCAATGATTTGACCCTTCTCAAACAGACTGACATCTTTTCCACGACCACGTGATGAGTCTTTCAACATGGTTGTTTAAGAAATGAGAAGCAACTCATTGCACCAGTTGGGGTTAAATAACTTGTTGCAGCTGAAATATAATCACCCATGCAGTAATTATCCAATAGGAGGCTCGTACCTGTTTGCTTAGTTAAATCCAGGTGGCAACTTTTTTTGGGGCCAGGCAGTGTATATGTACAGTCTATGCGTACAACACAGTAACTTATGCAACAGCTCTGTAATTTACCTGTTTTTCTCCCACTTACAGGGTCATTCGTTTCATGGTTAGCCATGTCAAATACTTGCTGGGTCTTCGGATTGAAGTGAGCGGCTGGGAACATCTGCAGACAGAAGGTCCATATGTCATCATCTCCAACCACCAGAGCTCTCTGGATGTTTTGGGTTGGTACTGGAACACTTTTTAAGACAAAACATTTGTTTTAGATTGATTTCAGCTGAACGTCTTTTTAGGAGTGTAAACATTAATTATAACTTTTAAAATTTTAAGGGAAAGTTTACATCTTTGACCTGTACGACAGTCATTGCTATTAGCCATATGTACAGTGAGGAAAATAAGTATTTGAACACCCTGCAACTTTGCACGTTCTCTCACTTAGAAATCATGGAGGGGTCTGAAATTTTCATCTTAGGTGCATGTCCACTGTGAGAGACATAATCTAAAAAAAAAATAATAATCCAGAAATCACAATGTAATTTTTTTTAAATAATTTATTTTTGTGTTACTGCTGCAAATAAGTATTTGAACACCTGTGAAAATCAATGTTAATATTTGGTAAAGTAGCCTTTGTTTGCAGTTACAGAGGTCAAACATTTCCTGTAGTTTTTCACCAGGTCTGCACACACTGCAGAAGGGATTTTGTCCCATTCCTCCACACAGACCTTCTCTAGATCAGCTAGGTTTTTGGGCTGTTGCTGAGAAACAGAGTTTGAGCTCCCTCCAAAGATTTTCTATAGGGTTTAGGTCTGGAGACTGGCTAGGCCACTCCAGAACCTTGATATGCTTCTTACAGAGCCACTCCTTGGTTATCCTGGCTGTGTGCTTTGGGTCATTGTCATGTTGGAAGACCCAGCCTCGACCCATCTTCAATGCTCTAACTGAGGGAAGGAGGTCCCCAAAATCTCGCAATACATGGACCCGGTCATCCTCTCCTAAATATAGTGCAGTCGTCCTGTCCCATGTGGAGAAAAACACCCCCAAAGCATGATGCTTCCACCCCCATGCTTTACAGTAGGGATGGTGTTTTTGGGATGGTACTCATCATTTTTCGTCCTCCAAACAGGGCGAGTGGAATTAAGACCAAAAAGTTCTATTTTGGTCTCATCTGACCACATAACTTTCTCCCATGACTCCTCTGGATCATCCAAATGGTCATGGACAAACTTAAGACGGGCCTGGACGTGTGCTGATTTAAGCAGGGGAACCTTCCGTGCCATGCATGATTTTAAACTATGACGTCTTAGTGTATTACCCACAGTAACCATGGAAACAGTGGTGCCAGCTCTATTCAGGTCATTGACCAGCTCCTCCCGTGTAGTTTTGGGCTGATTTCCTCACCTTTCTTAGGATCATTGATACGCCACGAGGTGAGATCTTGCATGGAGCCCCAGTCCGAGAGAGATTGACAGTCATGTTTAGCTTCTTCCATTTTCTAGTAATTGCTCCAACATACCTGGATTATTGAGCATGCATCAGGATAAATTGCTCCAACAGTTGATCTTTTTTCACCAAGCTGCTTGGCAATTGTCCCGTAGCCCTTTCCAGCCTTGTGGAGGTCTACAATTTTGTCTCTGGTGTCTTTGGGCAGCTCTTTGGTCTTAGCCATGTTGGTAGTTGGAGTCTAACTGATTGTGTGGGGTGGACAGGCGTCTTTATGCAGCTAACCACCTCAAACAGGTGCTTCTAATATAGAGTAATAAGTAGAGTGGAGGTGGACTTTTTAGAGGCGGACTAACAGGTCTTTGAGGGCCAGAATTGTTGCTGATTGGCAGGTGTTCACATACTTATTTGCAGCAGTAACACACAAATTATTTAAAAATCATACATTGTGATTTGCAGATTTTTTTTTTTTTTTTTTAGATTGTCTCTCACAGTTGACATGCACCTAAGATGAAAATTTCAGACCCCTCCATGATTTCTAAGTGAGAGAACTTGCAAAGTCAAAGTATTTGAACAGCCCTGCGGCTGTTCAAATACTTGTTTTCCTCACTGTAGCCTTCATGTGGACATGGAATAAGCCTACTGCTTAAATACTTCATGCTTACTGTTTGTGTGATCAAAAATACCCACACAAATGGAAATATATCTTTATGCCGATGGTTATATTTCCCTAAATAGGTGTAGATTTCTTTAACATCAGACTCAATATGAGTGTAAAACATGGCTGAAAGATTAAGGAAAGGTGCGACCCAGATATTTTTCACCCCAAAACAGTTTGACTTGTGTTTATTTCATCTCAGTTTATTGAGCACACATCTCTGATTCAGTGGTTTATTTCATTCATTTACATTTAGCTAACTAAACAAAATTGGTGACGTCAGAGTTACAAATAGAATGTAAAGTTAGTGCTTGGCATTATGTTGGAGATATTCAAAATATTGAGCATTTTCCCTTGTGCTGTTAAAAAAATGACTCGCATATATTGAGTATAAATGTTATTGGCTATTTTGTGTCTGACTTTGTCTAATTTGATAGCTGTTTAGCTTTTCCTATTTTCTTCAAATGCACCATAGCTCATTTCCCTTCTATTCTGAAAACATTGGTCCACCCCAACTGATTGAGAAAACTGCTACAGGATCTGCCTTTATGGTTTGAAAGCAAAACTTATTTTCCATTATAATATGTCGTTTAACTTCAGTCTCCCCAGAATTCTTCTGCTGGAGTTCTGATGAGCGTTAGGAGACATCATATTTTTCCAGTTTTAGCTTCTTTTCATTGGTCAAAGTTCTAAAGGATGGACATTTTTGGTCAAAGAACCAGAGGCTGGACTTGTTAGTCAGTGCCACCATCTGACAGGAAGTTATGCTATCAGCTTAAATTTTTTGACTTCCCTTGCTGCTGTCTTGTAGCATTTCGAAGTGTGTTTTGAGCACTAATCTTTATGCATCATGAATCAGTTTCTAAAGCTCCGGTTCAGAATGTGCTGTATTTCTTTCAAACCTAAGTAGTCTATAAACCGCAATGTCCATGCTCAATAATCCAGGTATACAATCAAACATTTTTCAGTCAGGTCATCTGGACAGTTTCTTTTTTTGTGCTGTAACGTTTCACCCTCGGTCCGGAAGGCTTCATCAGTCAAGGAAACGCACAACAAAACGTTGGTTACGTGCTGTAACCCCAGATTCTATGAGTATAGGCGTAGCCCTTTAAGAGCTGTCGCTTAGTGGGTTTATCCTGTAATGCGAAGCATTGCACTGAAAAATTTAGTCCACACCCACCTGCTGTGTGGGCCCCACCCGGTCAGTATAAATTACGTTAAGAGCGGGTAATCGGCTCCCAAATAGCTTTTTCTTCAGCCATTTAGGAGCCAGTGAGGCCAGACACTTAAAGGGCTACGCCTATACTCATAGAATCTGGGGTTACAGTACGTAACCAACGTTCTATTTCGGATAGGCTTAGCCCTTTAAGAGTTGTCGCTTAGTGGGTTAAGGGCAAAGGAGATGTGGTCCTCGCCTCACTGGGTCCATTCGAACACCATACGAAGCGGCAGCTTGCCCAAAAAAACGTCTCGTCACTCAGCTCTCCATGTGCGTAATTCTGCATTGCGTAATTATGTGTACCATGCACAGACGCATGCTGTGTAGTTATGCGTTCTGAGTGCATGAACGCCCCGGAAACTTTCAACGGGGAAAGGAAGATACTGAAAAAGGGCCATGAATCAACAGATTCATGGCTGAACAGTATAGACAGATTAATAATAACAAATGAACTGATTATTAATCAAATGAACTGATTGGTAACAATAGTCATGAACTGATTAGTGACAATAGAACCAAAATAACAGACACAACTTGTGACTGATAACACATCTCACACTGTGAAGCATGCAGACAGATGTGAGCTTAAACAGAGTTCCATGAAAACAACAATATTCATTCTGTTAGAGCACTAAGGACAGAATGTGTCATGGAACGGGCCGTCACATCACGTAGATAAGAGCGAATGAATGAGCGGGGTGTTGACCACGCGGCCGCAGTGCAAATGTCCTGCATTGTCATACCATATGCAAGGCAGTCGAAGATGCGATACCCCTGGTCGAGTGTGTCCTGAGGTTGACAGGAGGCTCTAAATCTGATGCTCTGTAGGCTTCAGAAATGGCCTCATACAGCCAGTGTGACAAGCGCTGGGTGGATAACGGGCGACCTGCAGATGCATCACTATAATGCACAAACAAATGTTGAGTTTGACGCATTGCAGCTGTGTGCGCTATGCAACACGTCAACGCCCGCACAGGACAGAGAAGATGGAAAGATGCTTCTTCTTCTGATTTGTGGCGGGAGGGGGAAAACCCCTCTAACGATATCACTCTTGATTTAAAAGAGCTCGTGATGTTTTTAGGCATAAAAGCTGGATTCGGTATTGGATCAGCTGAGCTGCCGTCAGCCTGAATTCTGAGACATGACGGAGTGACAGAAAGGGCAGATAAATCGCTCACCCTCTTAGCGGATGTTAAAGCCAGCAGCAGGGCTGTTTTAAGAGACAAGAATTTAATTGGAACCTGATTCAGTGGCTCGAATGGAGCTTTGATCAGGGCCTGCAGGACCAGCGTTAAATCCCACTGTAGAGCAAGTGGGTGTGAAACAGGCCCGCATCTCTGTACACCATTTAAAAAAAAACGCTTCATCAGCAGATGATTAAAAGCTTTTCTGTCCCCGAAACCTTCGTGACAGGAAGAGAGGGCTGCAGTGTATGTTTTAATCGTGCTGAACGCCAAATTTCTGTCCATCAGCTGCTGCAGAAAGGACAGCACGCTGCCTAGTGGACATGAGGTGGCCTCTACACCTTTCTCTGTACACCTTTTAGAAAACGCTTCATCAGCGGATGATTAAAAGCTGTTCTGTCTCCGAAAAACCTTTGTGACAGGAAGAGATGGCTGCAGCATACGTTTAATCGTGCTGAACGCCAAATTTCTGTCAATCAGCTGCTGTAGAAAGGACAGCATGCCTCCTAATGGACATGAGGTGGCCTCTACACCTTTCTCTGTACACCAGCACTGAAAAACTGTCCACTTTGATGTGTACAGCGCTGTGGTGGATGCAGCACGTGAATCCTGAATTGTGCGCACTACATCTTGCGGGAGACCCATCCTCTCTAAGCGAATCTGCTCAGCGGCCAGACCCACAGGTGCTGGCCTATTTCTGGGTAACTCCTGATCGCCCCTCCC